AAAAGTCCATCTAGCCCTGTATCCTGTCTTCCGACAGTGGCCAATGCTTCAGAGGGAATGAACAGAACAGGTAATCATCAAGTGATACATGCCCTGTCCCGCCTGCCCAGCTTCTGGGAAACAGAGGCTAGGGACACCATCCCTGCCCATCCTGGCTAATAGCCTTTGATGGACCTATCCTCTATGAACTTATCTAGTTCTTGTTTGAACCCTGTTATAGTTTTGGCCTTCACAACATCCTCTGGCAAAGAGTTCCACAAGTTGACTGTGCATTGTGTGAAGAAATACTTCCTTTTGTTTGTTTTAAACCTGCTGCCCAATAATTTCATCTGCTGATCCCCTAGTTCTTGTGTTATGAGAAGGAATAAATAACACTTCTTTATGTACTTTCTCCACACTAGTCATGATTTTATAGACCTCTATCATATCCCCATATCTCCTTTCCAAGATGAAAGTCCCAGTGTTATTAATCTCTCCTCATATGGCAGCTATTCAATACCCTTAATAATTTTTGTTGCCCTTTTCTGAACCATTTCCAATTCTAATATATCTTTTTTGATATGGGGTGACCAGATCTGCATGCAGTATTCAAGATGTGGGCATACCATGGATTTACATAGAGGAAATATGATATTTTTGTCTTCTTATCTATCTCTTTCTTAATGATTCCCATCATTCTGTTTGCTTTTTTGATGGCCGCTGCACATTGACTGAATGTTTTCAGTGAACTATCCACAATGACTCCAAGATCTCTTTCTAGAATGGCAACAGCTAATTTAGACCCCATCATTGTATATGTATAGTTCGGATTATGTTTTCCAATGTTCATTACTTTGCATCTATCAACACAGAATTTCATCCGCCATTTTGTTTCCTAGTCACCCAGTTTGTGAGATCCCTTTGGAGCTCTTCACAGTCTACCTGGGACTTAACTATCTAGAGTCCTTTTGTATCATCTGCAAACTTCACCACCTTTCTGGTTGCCTCCTTATCCAGATCATTTATGAAAATGTTGAATAGGATGGGTCCCAGTTCAGATCCCTGGGGGACACCACTATTTTCCTGTCTCCCTTCTGAAAACTGACCATTTATACCTACCCTTCGTTTCCTATCTTTTAAGCAGTTACTTTTCCATGACAGGGCCTTCTCTCTTATCCCATGACAGCTTACTTTGCTTAAGAGCCTTTGGTGAGGGACCTTGTCAAAGGCTTTCTGAAAATCTAAGTGCACTATATCCACTGGATCCCCCTTGTCTACATGCTTGTTGACCCCTTCAATGAGTTCTCTTAGATTGGTGAGGCATGATTTCCCTTTACAAAAACCATGTTGACTCTTCCCCAACAAAGCGTGTTCATCTATGTGTCTTATAATTCTATTCTTTACTATAGTTTCATCCAGTTTGCCCAGTACTGAAGTCAGGCTTACCAGCCTGTAATTGTTAGTATCACCTCTTGGGCCTTTTAAAAAAAAATGGCATCACTTTAGCGATCCTCCTGTCATCTGGTACAGAAGCTGATTTAAATTATAGGTTATATATCACAGTTAGTAGAATTTCACATTCATGTTCCTTTAGAACTCTTGGGTGAATACCATCTGTTCCCGGTCCTGGTCCAAAACCTCTTGTATTGACACCTCAATCTGGGACAGTTCCTCAGATTTGTCACCTAAAAAGAATGGCTCTGGTTTGGAAATCTACTTCACATCCTCAGCCATGAAGACTGATGTAAAGAATTAATTTAGTTTCTTCGCAATGGCCTTATCATTCTTGAGTGCTTCTTTAGCATCTATCATCCAGTGGCCCAACTGGTTGTTTATTCCTGCTTCTGATCTACTTAATTTTTTTTTTATTTTACTTTTTATGTCTTTGGCTAGCTGTTCTTCAAATTTTTTCCTTCCTAATTATATTTTTACACTTCACTTGCCAGAGTTTGTCTTTTCTATTTTCCTCAATAAGATTTAACTTCCACTTTTTAAAGGATGCCTTTTTGCCTCTCGCTGCTTCTTTTACTTTGTTGCTTAGCCACGGTGGCACTTTTTTGATCCTTTTACTATGTTTTTTAATTTGGGGTATACATTCAAGTTGAGCCTCTATTAAAGTGTCTTTAAAATTTTCCATGCAGCTTACAGGGATTTCAATTTTGACATTGTACCTTTCAATTTCTGTTTAACTAACTTTCTCATTTTTGTGCAGTTCCCCTTTCTGAAATTAAATGTTACTGTGGTGTTTTCCCTGCCACAGGGATATTACATCTAATCATATTATGGTCACTATTTCCAAGTGGTCCAGCTATATTCACCTCTTGGACCAGATCCTGTGCTCCACTTAGGACTAAATCAAGAATTGCCTCTGCTCTTGTGGGTTCCAGGACTAGCTTCTCCAAGAAGCAGTCATTTAAGATATCAAGAAACTTTCTCTCTGCATCTCTTCCTGAGGTGATATGTACCCAGTCAGTATAGGAAGAGTTGAAATCCCACATTATTATTGAGTTTTTCATTTTTATAGCCTTTCTAACATCCCTGAGAATTTCACAGTCACTATCACCATCCTGGTCAGGTGGTCGGTAATATATCTCTACCGCAATATTTTTATTATTAGAACATGGAATTACTATCCATAGAGATTCTATGGTTCAGTTTGGTTCATTTAAGATTTTTACTTCATTTTATTCTATGCTTTCTTTCATATATTGTGCCACTTCACCAGCAGAACGACTTGTTCTGTCCTTTTGATATATATTGTACCCTGGTATTACTGTGTCCCATCGATTATCCTCATTCCACCAAGTTTCTGTGATGCCTGTTACATGGATATCCTAATTTAATACGAGGCACTCTAGTTCACCCATCTTATTATTTAGACTTCTAGCATTTGTATATAAGCACTTTAAAATTGTCGCTTTTTAGCTGTCTGCCATTAAATGATGTAATTGAATGGGTCTTGTTTTCATTTGACTTTTTCTTATCGGATCCTACCCATATTTTATCATCTTCCATCCTCTCCTCCTTACTCAAACATAGAGAATCTCCATTAACAGATCCTCCACTTAGGGATGTCTCTGTCCGAACCACATGCTCCTCTGCACCTGTCTACTTTACCCCAGCCCTTAGGTAAAAATCTGCTCTACAACCTTTTAAATTTTATGAGCCAGCAAACAGAGCCTTTTAAAATTTCCTGTCGTGCCTTTTGGATTCTGTAGTACCCCATGAATGTTTCAAAGGCTGACGGATGTTGTGCTGGCAGACCCATGGAAAACATCTTGCCTGGTGTATGTTGATGGCACCGTTGTCATTGGGAGGCTGTTTATGGAGCACTTGCAGAAGCTGGGAGCTGTGCTGGAGAGGCTATGCCAAGCCAACTTAAAGGTGAAATCAGCAAGATGCAATTTTTCCTATGACACAGTAAATTACCTGAGACGTGTGATCTCAGGGGACGGAGCAGGATTGGGGCTCAGTTGCAAGCCAGCATGTTTGCAGGCTGCCTGATGTAACAGTAACTGGGGGGAGGGGGCTCAAGATGACACGGTGGGGCCATTGATCTCAGGCACAACCCAAATCCTACTCTCAGCAGCTTTCTGAAAATGTTGTGTAATGTTCCACTGGGTATTGTTTGTGCATGTGAGAAAGACTAGATGGAGTGCAGGCAAGAGACAGAGAGATTCAGGGGCATAGCAAGGAGCCTGCAAGCACAGTGTGGCCCCAAGGAGGCCAGACAATCAAGGTTCAGAGACCCTAAGGGGAGAACAGGGGATCTGAACCACAAAGAATAAGCAACTCAACTGGCTGCCTCCAAAACTGAGAATGTAGCTGTGGAAGTTGAGGTTGAGAAAGTTGTGACAGTAATGAACCCCCCCTTCCAACAGAATGGGCAGAGACTGTCACAGCCATCAAGTTCTGCAGAAATAATAGACACCCCTTAAGTTAGGAGCAGACTGAAAGGAAATCAAAGGAGAGAAAAGCCCTGAAGAGATCTGGGTAGATATAAAATTCTTGTGTGTTGGTGATGGGAAACTGTCCTGATAGAAGGGCCCGGCACATATGTAAATAGCTAAGTTTGTATGCTCTGTAATCTGTAAAATTGTTCCTTTTCTCTCTGTCTGGGATAGGGTGTTGGGTGCCACCATGCGAGGCCTCCTCAGGAGGATGAGCCAAACCAGAGGTGGTCGTGGGTGTTATGAACATGATGTGTGAATGCGCCCTTCTCTTAAGATAGTTGTTGGATAGTCAAGGGGCACCACTAACACAAGTCTAAACAGAGTTGGCCTAGAAACTAACACCATGTGGGGGAGGGTTCCACTGGATGTTGTGACCACCTGAGTGTGGGTGTGTGAAAAAGACAAGCTGGGCTGCAAAGAAGAACAGAGATAGACTCAGAGCCAGAGACAAAACGCAGGAAAACCGAGCTGTGATTTGTGTGGTGGGTGTATGGCCCTGGAAGAAGCTCGAGAGAGAGAGAGTTTTTGGGTCTGGTGTCGGCTAAAGAGGATTGGGGCTGTAAGGTAAGAAACTATTCTTTTGTTTCTGGTTTCTCCTGCATTTGGAGAAGCGGGACTTTGGGCTTTCTTTGTAAATAAACAAGATTGCATCAAAGACAATACAAGAAAATACCTCATTTTCTGCACCCAACTGGGACATCCCGGGGCCTTGAACTCTGACTATCCACTTGGGTGACAAAGGGGCAACAGTATTGAGTGAATGTTCTCTGTCTAGAAACCAAATCCTGCCGTGGATAAGGAGTCTGGGCTGTGAATGAAAACCGGGAGTTATTTAAGAAGGGTTATTAGATGTCCTGTGTAAGGAGTATGGTGCTCAGCCCTGCTGCAATCACAGCCAACAGGAATTCTGTCTGCCTTCAGGTTCCAGGATTTGGCCCCTCAGACGATACGGGACAGGGTCTTTATTTTTGCTGTTTTTTCCCACTTGATATTATTTTAAAACAATGAATAAATATATAACACCTTCTAAATAGTGACCAAGGAACACACCAAAGGAGGGTTTCTTACCTACTGCTGCTAGGGGCCTCAGTGGCCTTGAACGTCTCCATCTTGTGGTGGTAGAGTTCCTTTAGCAAAGTCTTCTGTAGCTGTGGAGAATCGTATTTCTGAAATTCCCAACTCGACACAAGGAAAACCTGTGGGGAGCTCATTCCTATTCTGGACAGGTTGTTGACGCAGACATTTCTGATTTTCTCCAGGATTCTCTCTTCATTGGTGCTCCCTTTGCTTTCCTCATTATACAGGTCCAAGTCCACTTTGGAGCGTACAAAGAAAAACTTCTTTCCCATCTTCTGGATCTCCCGAGCTAGCTTGGTGTGGCAGAATCTGCTTCTTTCTGAAGCGATAATGATGAAGACATCATAGCGGCTGAACTTCACTTGTTTCAGATAAGCGTCTGGCTGAAAATCTGGGGTCCCAATCGCTGGCAGGTCCCAAACAATCATCATGGGACACATAAGATGCCAATATGGTACTGGTTCTTTGGTCATTTCCGCCACACGGGTCTCAGCAGCGCCTTTGTCTTCATTTCCCAGGCCCCGGATGGCATTGACCAAAGATGATTTTCCAGATCCCGACTCCCCCGTGACGGCGATATTGAAATCAATGCCTGACAAATTCTTGAATGTCTGCACCACAGAAGCTGCTTCTAAGAAGTTTCCTGCTTTGATAGCAGCCTCGATCTGTTTAGTTTGTTCCACAGACATACCAGGAAGAGTATTTCTGTATTCTGTATATAGGTCACCACCGGTAGGTTTGAGATCAGCCATCTCCCTGGGAAAAGAGAAGGTCACAGTTAATTTTGTTTCCCTCACAGGATCCGCCAGCACATTGTAAGCTGGAGACCAGTATATAAATATCCCAGACATATAACTCATCATACACAAACCTGCAAAGCTGCAAGGAGAGGAGCTTTGGTCAAAGATTGAAATAACTAAAATAACTGGCAGAGATTTAGGAATTTTCTGGACTGCCGCTTAGCCAGTCGATCCCCAGCCTGTAGTGGTGCATGGGATTCTTCCATCCTAAGTGCAGGGCTCTGCACTTGTCCTTGTTGAACCTCATCAGATTTCTTTTGGCCCAATCCTCCAATTTGTCTAGGTCACTCTGGACCCTATCCCTACCCTCCAGCGTACCTGCCTCTCCCCCCAGCTTAGTGTCATCTGTGAACTTGCTGAGGGTGCAATCTATCCCATTATCCAGATCATTAATAAAGATGTTGAACAAAACCGGCTCCAAGACCGAACCCTGAGGCACTCCGCTTGATACTGGAAGCCAACTAGATACTGAGCCACTGATCACTACCCATTTAGCCCAACGATCTAGCCAGCTTTCTATCCACCTTATAGTTCATTCATCCAATCCATACTTTTTAACTTGCTGGCATGAATACTGTGGGAGACCGTATCAAAAGTTTAGTTAAAGTCAAGATATATCATGTCCACCACTTTACCCATATCCACAGAGCCGGTTATCCCTTTTTAAAATATGGGCACTATCTTTGCCTTTTTCCAATCATCTGGGACCTTCATGAGTTATCAAGGATAATGGCCAATAGCTCTTGGGATGTCATGCTGTGACAGGGTCTATTCAGCACAGATTCCGTAAAGGGAAATTCCATAAAGAACAAAATTGTCAGACACATATATGAACATAATTTGGTGGGAAATAGTCAATATGTTTTTTGTAAAGGGAAATCACGCCTCATCAATCTACTAGAATTCTTTGAGGGGGTCAACAAGCATGTGGACAAGAGGGATCCAGTGGATATAGTGTATTTAGATTTTCAGAAAGCCTTTGACAAGGTTCCTCACCAAAGGCTCTTAAGCAAAGTAAGCTGTCCTGGGATAAGAGGGAAGGTTCTCTCATGGGTCGGTAACTGGTTAAAAGATAGGAAACAAACGGTAGGAATAAATGGACAGTTTTCAGAAGGAAGACAGGTAAACAGTGGTGTCCCCCAGAGATCTGTACTGACTCATAGACTCATAGACTTTAAGGTCAGAAGGGACCATTATGATCATCTAGTCTGACCTCCCGCATGATGCAGGCCACAAAAGCTGACCCACCCACTCCTGGAATAATTCTCTCCCTTGACTCAGCTGTTGAAGTCCCCAAATCATGATTTAAGGACTTCAAGTCGCAGAGAATCCTCCAGCAAGCGACCCGTGCCCCATGCTGCGGAGGAAGGCGAAAAACCTCCAGGGACTCTGCCAATCTACCCTGGAGGAAAATTCCTTCCCGACCCCAAATATGGTGATCAGCAGAACCCCGAGCATGTGGGCAAGATTCTCCAGCCAGACCCGCATTGACCATTGATACTAATTACCTGCGATGGCACGTTATTGACCTATTGACTAAAATCACGTTATCTCATCACACCATCCCCTTCATAAACTTATCAAGCTTAATCTTAAAGCCAGAGAGGTCTTTCGCCCCCCACTGTTTCCCTCGGAAGGCTGTTCCAGAACTTCACCCCTCTGACGGTTAGAAACCGTCGTCTGATTTCAAGCCTAAACTTCCCGACGGCCAGTTTATATCCATTTGTTCTCGTGTCCACATTAGTACTGAGCTGAAATAATTCCTCTCCCTCCCTGGTATTTATCCCTCTGATATTTTTAAAGAGAGCAATCATATCCCCCCTCAGCCTTCTTTTGGTTAGGGTAAACAAACCGAGCTCCTCGAGTCTCCTTTCATACGACAGGTTTTCCATTCCTCGGATCATCCTAGTGGCCCTTCTCTGTACCCGTTCCAGTTTGAGTTCATCCTTTTTAAACATAGGAGACCAGAACTGCACACAGTACTCCAAATGAGGTCTCACCAGCGCCTTGTATAACGGAAGCAGCACCTCCTTATCCCTACTAGAAATACCTCGCCTAATGCATCCCAAGACAGCACTGGGCCCACTCCTATTTAACATATTCATAAATGATCTGGAAAAAGGGGTAAAAAGCTACATTCTTTTGTAGCTCTTCACAGTCTGCCTGGAACTTAACTATCTTGAGTAGTTTTGTATCCTCTGCAAATTTTGCCACCTCACTTTTGGTCTCAACCCATATGGCCATTCTTATGTTCTCACGGTGTTGAATGCCATCTTCATTGGAGTGCACCTCCATTTCTACTTGCCAGTAGCCGCTGGTCAAGTCCAGGGAGGAGAATAAGCAGGACTTTCCCCACAAGTCTAGAGTGTTGTCAGTCCTTTGGGGCACCTGCCATTGGCCACTGTCAGAGGACAGGATACTGGGCTTGATGGACCTTTGGTCTGACTCAGTATGGCCGTTCTTATGTTCTCATGAAATCATGTCTCCCAGATAACAGCCACCAGGAACGCTGTACCGAGATTGTTTGCCCAGCACTGCAATGCAGCCATCTCTGCAGTGGGGCAGTGAGATTAAAGCAGATTTCCCTTCTCTGTGCTCAGTGGAATAGAAAGAGGGGGGATGTTTCTATGCATAGAAGTAACACAGGGTGGGCACGACTAGCCTTTTAGGGTCCCAAATGGGAGTAGGACACCAAAGGAATCTCCAAAGCGGGAATATGTCTTAAGTTTATGATTGTTATCTGAATCTCTGTGATCCTGTATCACTCTACTAAAAGTTATGTGCAGAGGAACCAGCCAGGAAGGGACAGGCAAACAGCTCCAGAGAATACCACCCCCGGGAAGAATTGCATAAACTGGTTCAGATTGGGTCTGAGAGTCCCAAGAGGGCTTTTTGCTTGGTATAAAAGGCTGAGTTTAAACTGACAGAGGCGCCTTGCTCCAACAAATGGATGTGGTCCTTTGACCAAGGCAGAACAAATTCTCCTGCATATTGGAAGGACTTTGATGTACCAACCCCCAGGTGGAAAGTAGAAACTCCTGGTGTGTTTAGACCTTGTATTGTTTATTTAATGTGTGTTCTCTATAAGGCTTTTATCCCAAAATAACAGTGCCTTGCTCTGGGAAAGCTGCCTAGTCACTGGCAAAGGATGGCCTTGGTCCCTGCCCAGAGAGAGGTGTCGGCTGCAGGCCTGAGACCTAAGAGGGCATCCTGGAGCACACCACAGAGGGGGTACAAGGTGCAGTGGGGACAGCATGTGCATGTCTAAGTTCAGCAGCCCACAAATGCCATCTGGCCAAGCCCTGCCCTGGCACAGAAGAGTGGGCAGTGCTATGTCTGCGGTATGGGGCCAAGGTGCTTTGGGGGGGACTGGCTGCTACATGGAAAATGGCAGCACCAGAGTCCCAGCCAGGATGAACCAGGTCTCTGCTGGGACAGGCTTCCTGAACTGCTGCTGGACAGGACTGGCCACAATGCCCTGGGGCGGGGCTGGGCACTGGGGCAGGCAGCTCCATGCGGGGCACAGGCACCCTGCTGAGACTGGCACAGAACCACAGCAATGTCCGGCTGGAAGGGACCTCGCGAGGTCGTCCAGTCCAGCCCCCGCGCTGAGTCAGGACCAACTAAATCTAGACCAGCCCTGAGAGGGGTTTGTCCAACCTGGTCTTAAAAACCTCCAGTGATGAGGATCCCACAACCTCCTTTAGAAGCAGATTCCAGAGCTGAACTGTCCTTAGTCAAAAGAACGAGGAAGTACTTCTTGTTCTTTTTGCTGATACAGACTAACACGGCTAGCGCTCTGAAACCTGTCCTTAGTCAGTAAGTTACAAAAGTTTTTCCTAATATGAACCTTATATCTCCTTTCCCGCAGATGAAACCCATTGTGTCTTGTCCTGCCTTCAGTGGCCATGGGGAACAACTGATCCCGGTCCTCTTCATAACAGCCCTTTAATATCAGCCTATTCCACTCAACTAACCCCAGACTTACACATAGTTTCCACCCTTTTAGCCCTGCCCTGAGGAGTTGAGATGTTGCTGTCACTTATCCCTCAGTGAGCCCTGGAGACCCCGGTCCCTACGCCACCAGACCGCTGACAATCCCCGCGGCAAGAAGGCCCCGTGCACGGCTACTGCCGCAGGCTACCGAGCTCGGTGCTGGATCTCTCACGGTACGTCCAACCCTCTCCTCACCTCACAGCGACAGCTCAGCCCCCCTGCTCCAGCGACTCTGTCCTTCCTTCAGACCAGTGGTTCTCAAACTTTTTGTATTGGCAACCCCTTTCACAAAGCCAGCCTCTGAGTATGACCCCCCCCCTTATAAATTAAAAACACATTTTTTTATATTTAACATTATTTTAAATGCTAAATGTAGAACCCTATTGTTTAAAATGAATTTACCTTTTCTCACCACTTTTAAGTTAAGACTAAAACACATTTTTATAGAATTATTGTTTTTTTCCCAGTCGTTACTGTTTAATACTGGGGTTGTGAAGAAGCATTGCCAGTGTCACTTTTCACAGCAGACATAGCGCTCCATTGCCACCCTTATTTCTGCGCTGCTGCTGGTGGCAGCGCTGCCTTCAGAGCTGTGCAGCTTGTGACCCCCCCCGACGGGTCACAACCTCCCCCCCCAATTTGAGAACCCGTGATCTAGACCAGAGGTGACCAACCTGTGGCTCCGGAGCCACATGTGGCTCTTCAGAAGTTAATATGCGGCTCCTTGTATAGGCACCAACTCCGGGGTTGGAGCTACAGGTGCCAACTTTCCAATGTGCCAGGGGTTGCTCACTGCTCAACCCCTGGCTCTGCTGCAGGCCCTGCCCCCACTCCACCCCTTCCTGCCCCCTCCCCTGAGCCTGCCGTGCTCTCGTTCCTCCCCATTCCCCCCC